CACAATCCTCAAATCAATATTGTTTGTTCCGGTACAAAAGTATTTCGATTGTTGGCACAAAAAAATTGGAAATTAGATCGATTGCACGTAGAATTCAACCGGAATGATGAATTTCGTACAGTTGCACACCAAATTGAAACATATTGCGGCCATGGCCATGTTAAACGATTGGAAATGTCTTTTCAACATGAATGGGATGTTTTTTCAGAATTGGATATTGTACGGCTAACCGAATTGTTACCCGCGTTGGATGTTTTACAAGGTTTACACATTAAACATGTAAGCATGGATATGTGCTATGAATTCGTGAATTTACTGAAGCGGTTAAAGCAATTGAAAGTGATTAGCTTTGGCATCGATCGCATTTTTAAGAAATTACGACACATTTTAGCACATCTACCAAATCTGGAAGAATTTCATTTTGACTCGATATCGAATGAAGAAAATGGACTACGATTCAGGAAACTCTTACGAACATTCGCTGTTAATGCACCAAATATTAAAGTAATCTCTATTCGGAGCGTAACAAACATCAAATTTATTGATGATAGTGACATTATGAAGATAAATCAGCTACGCAAAAACACACCAAATTCACGACCTTTTACTATTTACCTTGACTATGTGGTCATCGAAGAAGCCAATTTCACAGTTCCATCGAACAGTCTTGTGCATGTGAAACCATTCTCAGAAATGGTACCCGATCACCGAAAAAATTATTAGCCAGCATTTTAGTTGCATTTTGGTTTGAATATAATAGTTTTTAATTTATATCCCAATAAAATGAAGATTTTTTTTTTTTTTTAAGTTTTGTTTTTTTTTGTCGATGGAAATCGTTTTATTATTAACTGTTAAAGTTAACAGTAGATTTGAATGGATTCGAATGTATCTATTTGTTGTTAAATTGCAAAACATTTTGTGGTCATAAATTCTTTGTAATTCTTCGGCACCTGTAAATTGAACTAATTTTTCCCGTCATTTATTAATTGGCCTGGACGGTCCCTACCATTTTTGGTCCCGAGAAATGGATTAATATCGAAAAATATAACTAAGTTGACTTGCTCAAGGACTACTAAAATTTCGAAAAATGATCGATTTCAACGCATTTTACGTACTTTGATACTTTTGACTTACACGTGACAAAAGTTTTTTCTTAAGCTAAACCGGTATAGTTCATTCACCACAGCGATTTTTAGTACCAACTGTGCTTTTTAGCACGATCTTCTTGGTCCATTTTTTTGAACTTTCGAACAAAAATCCGATTTTGATGATCCTTTTGGTAGTAAAACTTGCTCCCAAAGCAAAATCATGGTACTCTAAATCGATAGTCGGGGACATAATATGCATGTTACTGGTTAAATTCAGCATTTTTTGATCATAATAGAAAGTTTTAGAAATTGACCGAACAATTTTTTTACATTTCATAGATTTTTGGCCACTACCTACCGTTCGGAGAATAATTAGTAATTTTTTTTAAATAAGACTTTACTCGTTTAAGGCCAATACGACTTTTACTACCCATATTAGAAGTGTACGCTTCGTGTACACTCGGCACATCTTCGCTGCTTAGGCGAATTCACATTAGAAGTAGAATTCACTGCGACATTGTCAAAAAACATCAAGTAGCCATATGTAAATGTTTCATTCTCTTTTGTGTGAACTTTCTTTTACTGTGTATCAATAGTACCTTACTCTATAGTTCAGTAATTTTTGGTGTAGGGCGGCGCCACCGTATGTACATGGAAATTTACATTTAAACTAACGCCATCTAACGTGTTTGTAAAAAAGCAGCGATGATGTGCCGAGTATACACGAAGCGTGAATTGTTCTAATACGCGTTACTGAAGTCGTATTGGCTTTAAACGAGTAGTTCACTCTAGACAAATCTGACATCTAATGGAGACAATATAAACATTTCAATAAATGAATTTTTTCACAACATTACCCCCTGACCTTAAAAGTTTGCTTCGATAAAAAAATGTTGCAAAGTCCATCCGAAAGTCAAAATGAAAAACCCTCAACATTGAGATTGAAGTTTAAAAAGTTTATTTTGAATTTGCTCATCATTGAATTTTATACCTCTTTTTGTCCAAAAAAAAGTGGCGATCATTATCTATGTCTATCGAAGATGACAAATTACTGTAACACAGGTATAAGTTCTGACACTTGCACGATCTTCCATTTTACATCCATGCAGCTGTGTGCACGTTTAAGTCTGGCATATATGCAGAAATACAAGCGATTAACTCAAAGGGTCGAGAAACATTTTTTTATTATGGCTTATTATGTAGAATATTAAAAGAAAATATAAAGTATAATAAAAGCAAGTATTTCTATTGTTAAATTTCTCTAAAAAATGTATTCTAATTTCAACTATTGTCTTAAAACATTTGACTTTTAGGGATAACAATCGATTGATGTTGAATGAAAACTCGACATTTCTGCTTAAATTTATATAGATTTGCTCCGTTTTCATGAGTTTATATTATATTCCCTTCAATTGTCTTCAAGTCTATTGATCTAATCGATCATAGTCGCAGATATTGCTACCACATCGATAATTCCAATGTCCAAAGGTGCGTTTGTAGTTAAGACCCAGTCTCCTCTTAATAGTTTCTGTAAATCGTAAATTATTGCTGAGTTGATTGCAAATTTAATAATTTTTGCCGATTTGCAAGCTGTTAAAACACAGACGGCCACATCCAATGATAAAGTACATTTGCCCAGATCAATTTCCGTTAATAGATCCAAAGCATTGAGTTTGGAACTGTTCATAACTTGCCATGAGTTGTCCGTTCCACTTATGTGGATTTTTCTCAAAGTTGATCGATTTTGATTGATAAAGTCCAAAAAACTGTTGTTGATTTTAAAATCAAATTTTTCCAAAGTGAATGACTCCAATCGGTCGAAAGACATCGGAAAACACTCTGGTATGTGTGTAAATAATGCCAATGAGAATTCTTTCACATTTCGAAAGTGAATGACATCGCTGTTGTTCTCTTCGAAGAAATCTTTATAGAAATAAGCTTCACTTCGAATATCCAATATTTCCAGATTTTGCATATAATCGCTTATACTCCGAATGAACAATGCCGTCACCATTACACCACAAATACTGAAGCTTTTCAAATCTGAATTTAGACGCAATGTTTCGAATATATTATCGCGATTAAACCACGTTCTCCGATGAAACCAACTTGGTTCTCCCGTGAAATTGTCAATTGACAAACATTTCAAATTTGGAAAATACCTTTCGATGCATTTGACATCAACCACTTTATTATGTCTGCTGAGAAATTTCAATGAACGAAGTTGTGGAAACAATTTGTTAAAATCACAGATGTTATTATTCAAACTGCAAAAGCTGAACTCAAGACATTCCACTTTTTTAAATGGTTTTTGTAAAAACTCCATTGCCATTTCAGTGGCATTCATTATTTCAATCGTGTGCAGCGTATGATCACAGTATTCACTCAAATATTCGTCGAATAAAATGTTTAGGATTCGTTCATTCTCATCACGTGCAGAGTATTTAACGATTAAATGTGGCATGTGGTGGCCAAAACAACGCAAAAATTTCAGTGCACTCACCGTATTTAAAATCTGAATGTTGGTTTTAGCATCAATTTTTGAACGAACATCAAATAAACGATCGTAAATTGTGATGATATTCACTTTTTTGTTTTTGTATTTGCTGACAAATGCATGATTGACGGCCTGATTGAAATTTGGATGACTATCAGCCACATTGAGTAAATCACTGAGCTCAAAATATTTGAAAACTTTCTCGAGACAATCGTTGCCCAAGTCGAGTAGGGTGGTGATCGATTTTACACTTTCCTCATCGTTTTCGTTAAATTTAATCCGTTTAATCGATTTTTCATTATTTGAATCCATTTTCGATACTTTTAACAAAATTCGCCCTTAATTACTTTCCAATTTCTTCCAGATGACCAAAAGTCGGTGTTAATGTTATCAACTTGGCTTGTTTTTGTTTGAAATAACTAATTTTTCGGTTTAAATTTGAAGTTGACTTCTTCAGTTCGAATTTACAAATGAATGAATTCATTTGAATTTTGAGCTGTTTAGCTATTTCTACCTGAAATATACCACCTCTTTTACTTTCTAAGTAAACCATCCTTCGAAATTTCATTTAAGGCAGTTTTCATATTTCTATTGAATATATCGAGAAGAGCGTATGCTATTCAGTACTTATAGCTGAGTAATGGCTGAACAAGAACATACTCTCTTCTCGATATATTTAAAAGATTTATTTTTCTTGCTTCTTTCTGCAAATCCATTGTCTTTTGCAATACGATCGGATTTTTCATAATTTTGTTCCTCATTAGCATGGAATGTTCTATTATGTTTAAATTATTCGTTTTTCTGTATCATGAAGAACGCCAATTTTCGGTGAATCGACTAAAAAAGAAAAAAACCCAAAAATTATCGATTTTTTGTCACATTCACAGAATTTTTGAAATCATAAAAGAAGTTCTGAAATTCCCAAATGCAATTAGTATTTTTAGGTGATGCCAAGGTCATTTTTTGCCTTCAAACGCATATTTTTAAATTATTAACGTAATGAGTCTTAGCGTATAATCAAAGCAATTGCGTCTTTTATCGAAAAGTAGTATGCATCACACAATACATTCAAAATTACACACACTCTGTGTATTTTGATTGTAATTATAAACCATTATACTTTCAACTACTTTGGATACTGAAACAGAATCACAGATCAGTGGAAAAAACTTGTTCTTCTACACATTTTCGAAGAATTGATTATTTTGCTCAAATAAAGATGCGGACATAATATGATGAATATATTCGGGTATTTGTTGTTGGAAACAAATGACACGAGACTTATTTTGGACACCATTTGTCTCGCGAAACAAAAACAAACATCACTTCTGACGACCACATCAAACGTGTTATAAATTTCAACGAAGGTTTATAAGTATGACAACCATACAAGATTAGTCAGTTGATACGTAAATTTCAATCACACCGGACCAATTTTATATTACAAACTGCGCAACCAATTAAGGCATACAAAATGCAGTTTTTTTGTTTCATAGTTTGCGCATTTGTCATTGCACGTAAGTTCCACTCACATTTTACCGGTCCCCAAAACACAAACTTTGGAAAATTTTGATTTACTTGCATTGAAAATAAATTAGAATTAAAGCATACGTCCTCAGCAGGGGTCCGAGGGGTCCGATTAAACCCCCCCCTGACGAAGTTTTACCCCTTGAAAATTTTCAAAGAATTCTTCCAATTTGCTAGGGATTTCCGCCAAAAAAGTGAAGAGTAAAAAAAAACGAAAAAAGTACACTTTTCGCAAAATACACTTCACTTTTTTGCTTACCCCTCACGATTGTTTTCAATTTCCCCCCTTAAATTTTTCCCTTGAGGACGTATGATAATTAAACCCTAAAAATTTGTAAATATGTGATTAATTTCAAGGTGTGTACATTTTTGCTCTTCACTTTCTATTTTTAGTACCGAATATTATTCGTTCAGAAAATAATGTGGCTTCATTTACTGAGGACGATATGCCAAAATATTGCGGACGACCACATATAATTAATTACGCATATGATGGGACAATAGAATTACACTCATCATATCCATGGTAAGCATGTAAAAAAATTGCAATTTGATTAATTTGAATTTTTGTCATTAATTTGTATTTAACATTTAAACAAAGGACTGTGCTTATAGAATATTCAAGAAATCATAAAACAAGTATGTATACTTAAAGCTGTTCCATGGATGTGAATGTTTCAATAAAATAATTGAAATATCTTTATTTTATATTTATAGGCAGATCTCGAGCGGACTTCCGTTGTGCCGCCAATCTTATTCACACTAATTACGCTGTAACAGGTATCGCAAGTGAAATACAACTACTTTCTACTCCGATCTTTTCTTCTCATGTATAAAATTATGTGAATCTTTTGTTTTCCTTAAAAATGTTTCATATTTTACAGCGGCAAGTTGTGTTTTCGGCTCTAATCTAAAATCCAAGCCTGTATCTGTGCAAGTGGGATCGTTGGAAGTTAATGCGGGCAAAAAGAAAACTGATGCTGTAGATATAAAAATTGCCGAAATGTTTGTCCATGAAAGTTATGATCCAGATTCAATTTCGCAAAGCGATGATATAGCATTGCTTCGTTTGTCGCGGCCGGTTAAAGATGACGAGGCAATGCCAATTTGTTTGCCGTTTGCTTCGCATTTACCATAAATAAAACCACCGATAATGATTTATTCACGCTGGTTGGTTTTGGAGAAAAGGAAAATGGTATACATATAATAGTAAAACTAACTTAAAGATAGTGAAGCTGATGATGACACGTACACCGTGTTGAAATGCTTTCGTTTTGTTTGTTTGTTTGAATTGAAAATTCCAATCATTTTCATAAGTTAAAATGTTCAGTGTTAACACTTTGTTCATTTGCTCAAATTTCGGAATTTGTAATCATTAAGGAACTAAACTCATCACTATTTAATTAAAGACAGATTCCAAACATGGATACGTGCAAATTAAACGCACATTTATTTCAAACTTCTTTTACCAAAAAAATATTAATTATTCGACTGTGATTTTAGGCGAGACAAGTAATAATAAACAATATGCATATATGTATGGACTTAAATCAGATGAGTGTCAAAAGACTCATAGCAATATCACATCGAAACAATTTTGTGCGTATAACGAAAATGGCCAGAGACCGTGCCACGGAGATGAAGGCGGTCCCCTATTAGGACAAGATTTAACAGACCTTGAACATCCATTCCTTTACTTGGCTGGCATTGTATCAATCGTAAATCAGAACTGTAACACATTGAATATACCAAGCGTTTATACTGTAAGAGCTCTTCTGTTTAGAATTTAAACTTTAGATTATTGTTACATTGTTGCTTCTTATTCATTTTAAACGAAAACATTTGCGCTTTTTTATTTACAGAAAGTCGATCAACACTTGAACTGGATGCTGAGCAAAATGTCCAAATAAAAATGTACCTTTGGACTATACCAGTTTTTTTCTATTTTGACTTAATAAAGCAAACAAAACACGTAAATTTAATAAATAAAGATTACTTTCATATTTTTCTCATGCAAATATTTATAGATATGTATCATTGATTTACTATTATTATTATTTTTGCCACAATATGAATTAAATATCTTCCATTTTATATCAAACATTCGAAAAGATATGCATCCGGGTTATTAGTATTTACATTCTACGTTTGATGTTGAAAAAAAACTACCGCAATTGAAATCTCTTCATGTATTCACTTTTCGAGCATCAAACGATGTTCAAAGTCTTGCATTAGAGCGCATTTAAAATGTTTTATATTGATAAAGAAATTGTAAGAGATAACGAAACATTGTTGAAGACCAATGGAAAAAAAACTGGTTTTTCGACCAAAACAAATTGTCCTTGGGATTGTTTTGATTTCTCAAAAAATGATGCGGACATGGTATAATAAACATACTCGGGTATCTATTGTTGTAAACAAGCGACTAATTTTTTTTCCTATTTAATTTACATAACAAGAAATATTTGATAGAATTGCAAGTGTGTGTCACTTGAATCACCACAATTCAATAACATGATATTTATTGTTTTATGAAACCCGTGTGTAAAAAATACTGGACAAATATAGACTGTTTCGAATAAATGAATATGATGATTCGTATGAAATATAATCGCATTGATTATCATCTCACTTAATTGACTGTAAGTCACTCTTTGCACACGGGACTTATTTTCCAAACCATTTTTCTGGCAAAATGGACACAAACATCACCACGTCAAACGTGTTATCAGAGATTAGAAAACGCTACAGATATAGCAGTAGTGTGTGAGCAAAAGTTTCTAGGGGCTTTGTGGAAAAAAAAATCTCGCGCCAAAAGTGAAGAGTGGAAAATCAAATGAATTGAAAAAGGGATTTTGGATTTCACTCGAAAAAAGATTGATTATGAGGGAGGTGAATTGACTCAAAAATCCCCTGAAAATCGAAAAAATGTCTTCCATTTCAAAAATTGAGTGACCAAAAAAGGTGTTCACTTTTTTTCAGAAGAAATCCTTAGCAAATTGAAAGACCCTTCCGCAGTAGTGCTCTAAAGAAATACTATATTAACAGTGCCTATCGATAGTTGATATTTATACACATTTCGATTGTGTGAACTCCAATGTGAACAATGTGATTGTAAAGTCTACATACAAAAAGGGTCATTGCTTACATTAGAGTTCACAAAAATTATTATGGTCACTCATTCGAAATGTGTACAAATATTAACTATTGATAGGCACTATATCGGTAGCTAATACTGTATTATAATCTTAGGAAAGTTTATAAGCATGACAACCATGCAAGATTAGTCTATTGGTAGGTAAGTTTTAACCACACAGAAGCAATTTTATTGTACAAACTGAATAATAAACTATTTTATTGTATAAACTGCGCACTCAGTAGAAGCCCACAAAATGCAATACTTTCGCTACATAGTTTGCGCGCTTATCATAGCACGTAAGTTCCATCAATATCTAATTTTTTTATTTATTGAAAATAAATTATAATTTGGGCCTCAAATAATTGTAAATAATAATTCATTTCAAAGTGTGTACCTATTTTGGTCTTCACTTTCTAATTTTAGTGCCGAATATTATTCGTTCAGAAAATAATGTGGCGTCATTTACTGAGGACGATATGCCGAAAAAATGTGGACGAGAATATTTTATTCAAATCGATTATGAAGGAATAAAATTAGTATCGGCTCACCCGTGGTAAGCATCAAATAAAATATTTTTAACAATTTTATTTGAATTTTTGACATTAATTTTTATTTAACATTTGAACAAAGGACTGTGCTTATAGAATATTCGAGAAATTTTTTCACGAGTTAGTATACTTAAAGCTGTTCCATAGATGTGAATGTTTCAATAAAATAATTGAAATATCTTTATTTTATATTTATAGGCAGATCTCGAGCGGACTTCCGTTGTGCCGCCAATCTTATTCATAGTAATTACGCTGTAACAGGTATCGCAAGTGAAAAACAACTACTTTCTGCTTCGATCTTTTCTTCTCATGTATAAAATTATGTGAACCTTTTGTTTTCCTTCAAAATGTTTCACATTTCACAGCGGCTAGTTGTGTTTTTGGTGCTAATCTAAAATCCAAGCCTGTATCTGTGCAAGTGGGATCGTTGGAAGTTAATGCGGGCAGAAAGAAAACTGATGCTGTAGATATAAAAATTGCCGAAATTTTTGTCCATGAAAGTTATGATCCAGATTCAATTTCGCAGAGCGATGATATAGCATTGCTTCGTTTGTCGCGGCCGGTTAAAGATAACGAGGCAATGCCAATTTGTCTGCCGTTTGCTTCGCATTTAAAGAATAAAACCACTGATAATGATTTATTCACGGTGGTTGGTTTCGGAGAGAAGGAAAATGGTATACATATAATAATTGATGAAAATTACCAAAGAATTATTATTTATTTGACTGTGATTTTAGGCGAGACAAATAATAAGAAACTATATGCATATATGTATGGAATTAAATCAGATGAGTGTCAAAAGTCACATGGTAATATCACATCGAAACAATTTTGTGCGTATAACGAAAATGGCCAGAGACCGTGCCACGGAGATGAAGGCGGCCCCTTATTAGGACAAGATTTAACAGTCATTAAAAATCAATACTTTTACTTGGCTGGCATTGTATCAATCGTGAATCAGAACTGTAGCACATTGAATATACCAAGCGTTTATACGGTGAGAACTCATTATTCTTTTTTATTTAGTTTTAACGAAATTGTGCTTTTTTTATTTACAGAAAGTCGATCAATACTTGGACTGGATGTTGAGCAAAATGATCAATTAGTATTAATGTCATTTTTTTGTACCAATACATGTTTGACATACAATTTAATAAATAAAGATTACTTTAATTATTATTTTTCATGCAAATTTATATTGATTTGCTACTTTTTTGCGATAATTTGAATTAAATATTGTCAAATCTCCGACACTGAATAATATTCTTTATAAAGATGTAAACGAAAGTCTTCGTAGAAAAATTGTTCATTTGTATCAATATTTTCTAGTTTTCCTTCGTTCATGCGCAGTGTGCACTAAAAAGTGCTAATGAAGGGTCAATGTTCATTTGCATAGACATGTTCGGCTTCGTATTCATAACAAATTTGTTTTTAACAGAGGAGTTTGTCAAGATTTGCTTCTGAGTTCGTGTTAGTATGCCGCTAGCATTAATCTACACGACAGTACTAACACCAACATAGTTAGAAGCTGCTTCCAGCAAGAGTGCTGGTCGTGAGTGATGACTTCATTCTGTGATTAAGGTAATGAATTGTTCACTTGATGAGTAAACGAATTGGTGAATGGATATAAAAACCTCAAAATTTAACAAAAATCATATACTTGTAAGTAGTCAGTTGTTCAGTTAACATCATTTTAAAATCATTTTTTTGGTTCAAATATCAAATATTCATTCTCCGTCAATTGAAAACATCAAAAAGAAATTCTCGAAAAAGGTTGTGTGAAAAAACAATTTGTGAAAAGTGTCATAAAAAATGGATTCAAACAATGGTACATCGATCAAACGTCAATTTAACGAAAAAGAAGAGAAAAATTCCGGCAAAAATGCCAAATCGACCACCAACCTAGTGAATTTGAACAACGATTGTCTCGCGGAAATTTTCAAATATTTAGAGCTCGATGAATTGCTCGACGTGGCCGATAGTCATCGCAATTTTCATCAAGCCGTCAACTGGGTCTATGCAAGCAAATACAAAACCAAAAAAATAAATATATCGAATTTCTTCCAAGAGACCTATGTTCCCCCCATAAAAATGGAAGATACTGAAGACAGCATTCAGATCTTGGATTTAGCTAGAGCAATGAAATTTGTGCGTTATTTTGGCCACCAGATCTCACATTTAATTATTTATTATTCTGTCCATAACGATGGCGGACAATATAAATATACGTTATTGGACGAATATGTGAATGAATACTGTGAAGATTCGCTGCGCACACTTGATCTAATGAATGCCACCGAAATGGCAATGAAGAATTTGGCGAGATCATTCAAGAGAGTTGAATGTCTTGAGTTCAGCCTCCCTCGTTCGAATAATAACATCTGTGATTTTAACAAATGGTTTCCACAACTTCGTTCATTAAAATTCATTTGCGGCTATAATAAGTTTTCAAATCCAAAATGCATCGAGACACATTTTCCGAAATTGGAGCACCTGACAATTGGTAGTTACACCGGTGAATGTAGTTGGTGGTTTAATCGCGATAATATTGCCTGTTGCCTTCGGCTAAACCCACAATTGCGAAGCTTTTATATTTCGGGTGAAATGGTGAACACGACTTTAATTCAGAGCCTAAGCAAGTATATGCAAAATTTGGAAGTTTTGAACATTAAAAGTGAAAGTTTTTTCGGTAGTTATCTCAAAACGATTCACTTTCGAAATGTCAAAGAATTCTCGTTGACATTATGGGCATCGGTGCCAAAGAAAATCCCACTATCATTCGAGCAATTGGAGGTATTCTCGTTGAAATGTGAGAACTTTAAAATTACCAATTATTTTTTCGACTTTATCAATCGAAATCGATCAACTTTAAGAATGATCAACGTAAAAGGAATGGAGCATTCATGGGAAGTTACAAATAAGTCTAAAATAAGCACAGCCATGGAATTATTGACGGAAATTAACATTGAATGCATTTTATCATTTGATAGTACCATCAGTGTTTTTGAAGCATGCCAATCGGCCAGAGTGATTCAATTTTGTATAAACCCTTCAGATCTTGATAATTTGAAGCTGTATTTCAGTAAAGATTGGATCATGGTTACAGATGAGAGGCACAATGACATCAAGATTGAAGCAACGCGCCGACAGACGATAGGTTGACTTTAATTCATTTAATTTAAATGTTATAACCTTTTCCACCGAAGTTTTTGAACAATAAATTAAAAGAAAGTTTGGTTTTTTTTATATTCACATATTATCAGCAATAATAAAGCACACTTTTTGATTTTTTTTTTGAGTTAATTCTTTATTTAACAGCAGTTTTTATCTTAAGGTTGCTATGGCGAAAGAGATGTGATAGAGAATAGATAAAAACCCATTCTCTGAATAATCAAAATTGATTGAATTAACGAAATTCCAATTCAAATCTTACAAAAATGCTGTCAAAATAAACGTTTGACTATCACAAAATCTAAGAATATTATACAAAAGAGCGAATAATAATCGCCAGGAAAAAACGCACAAAAAAACACGTCAATCACTTGATTTACGTATAACAAAACGGCACGAATGATCTGTTGTTTATTGTCGATTGTTTGCGGAATGACAAATATATCGAATTAGTTGAAATTATAAGACAAATTTATTGAATTAACTGAACACTTTTATGTGCATATACACATATTCACGAATTGCTTTTCATTTGGTGAGAAATGTATCGTTTATGATTGGTTGATGTAATTTGTTTCTGTTAGTTCCGCAAATAATTAAATAATGTGTAATTGGAATAATTGCACGTTATTAAAATGCAGTTAGCAAATGCAATATTCCTCTCTCGATGCTATTGTCAAATTCGAAAATATCAACAAATTGATTGCGTGACTTGATAGGCAACATGTGAACGCTGTGACCTGTAGCGTCTCTCCGTTAATTCAACACATATCGTAGATATGATTAGATCAGCAAACAACGGATGTACTTGTACATTATCATCAAAGCACGTGAAATGACTTTGAAATGTTCATTCATTGAGATTCGTTTGACTTATCGATTACTATCGAAAGTGATGTTTTTCACAATTTTTTGTACGCCCATCTTATTTGATCAAAATTGATTTCGGAGATGTGAAGACACTTGAATAAACGAAAAAAACATGTGGGAATCAATCAAAATGTGGAGAAATTCATTGCAATTTGCATTTAAATGTGCAGTATGTATCCTCATTAGCTCATACTGTGTTGGTCATACAAATTGATAAAACGTGGACAAGCAATTACAAAAGATTTTTTTATAGATTCTCGGGAAATTTTACGATTTTGTTATAGCTTAAATGGGCTGTTTTAATATGGGTCATTCCCAGTTGTCAATTCAACAATGTAATTTTGTATGGACAACTGTAACGATTATTGGCAATTTGATTTTTTATATATATTTTATCACACATTTTCGCAAAATGACTTTTCAGAATTCGAAAAGTCAATCTTGAATTTGTGGTTTTATTGCCACTTCTATTTTTCCATTCTATAGCCAGTTTTGCATATCATACATGCGTTCGCTGATTTTGTATGAGCAGAGTTTTGAGGTCTGAAATGATCCGTTTTTTGACAACTATTCGATATTCGCTTTTTTATGTAGCAGCTTGCTGTTATCGGCACCGCGGTGAAATGCAGACACTAATTCCATGTAATTTTTTTTAGCAGCATTTACATTGCTCAGACCTATCCGGTGCCTGCAACAGCTCTTACTTAGTACTTTTATATGCCGCAACCCTTATTGTATTGAGATATTTCAAGCCACTGCTTCAGCTCAGGAAGCTAACGTCAGGCGCTGAAAAGAAGTAAAAACAGTAAAAGTGATTCTTATGGTTATAAATAAACCTACTTTGCTACAATTACTATAAAAATCACTTCCATTGTTTTCACTCCATTTCACCGCCTGACGTTAGCCGAGCTGCTTCAGCTGCCCGAAAATATCTCAATATAATGTCTGGTGACGAAATATGGAATTTAAACTAACAAAATTAGTTCGAAAAATGTGGCATCACATTAAAATGGTTATATAAAAATTAATCAAATTTCCCATTTTTTCACTCATTCCTTTTAATCTCTAATTAAAATTATGGCATATAAATGGAATAAATAAATAATAATGATCGATTTGTTAATTTTCAATAGATATAACTGTATACATTCTTTTAAACAATTTTCTGAATATTTCATTATCTTGCATTCCGATTAATTGTCTCATAAAATCATAATAGAAATTATTAACGATAAACCTATTCATTCGGTAAAATCCCGTAAATAAATATAAGCAATTTTATTGTAGTTGAAAAAAGTATAAAAATGATTTTATTTTTCACAAAAAAGCTGCCCGTAAATCAAACATTCAAAATGACATACACATGCCTCGATGATATGCCATAAATCAACATTCTCACATATACGTATCAAAATAGCACGTCATCTCAACTGTGCACTGAACTATAGAAAATTATTATTATATATTAGTACTCTATATAGTGGTGAAAAGTGAGCAAAATAATTCTGATTAATGATCCATACATTTGAAGTCAGCGAAGCTGAAAGCACAAAATAGCATGTGAATTTCATTTGCATTTTTAGTCGGCAATCAACTGTTGTTTGTCGCACAAAACAAGCACTTCCGCAAAGCAAGAATAATGCAGACCAAAGCAAATATGGAGAAAATCGCTGAGGAAGTTCAAGAGGTCAGCACATTTCGACGTATTTTACCTCAGGTGGGTCGTTTTTATTTCGGATTTTTCAAAGCAATTTTTCAAATCAGATTAGATTTTTTGATGCTAGTCAGCTGTTAAAAGCGATTTTCATTCAACATCATTTCGAACCTATTAAAACACGATGGAATGGAGTGGAAAATTTGATTCGCTCACTTTGTTCGTTCTTTAATAAACGGAAACATTTCTAACGAATTTTGAATAATTACGCATAGTTTTGAGTAAAATTCGTATTCATATTTTATTTACAGATTCTGGCGACTTTCGCAAAAAATCTGATCATTTTCAATTTGGGCGAATTCTTCGCGATCTCTTCAATTGTAATATCGTCATTAAACGGATCGTGCATTTATTTGAATCCAGATGAAACACTTTTAGTTACACCAGCTCAAACATCGTGGCTATGTAAGATTTTGATTAAAAATTCGAAACGAACATTTTCAAGAGACAGTGACTGATTAATCTACTTTTCCACGGCATACCTTTGCTCCACACACATGGATTTGTTCAAAAAAGCATTAATGGACCTTTTTTTTGTTCTAATTTATTTTTTTAAATAATTTTCTATTGGATTATTTCTCTCATTCAATTTTGCAGCGAGTTTTGCTCATATAGCCCATCCAATTGGAAGTTTATTGAGCGGACCGATATGTGATAAAATCGGCCGTCGAAAGGCGATTTTATTTGTAACTATTCCACTTGCTATTACATGGATAATACTTGGTCTGTCACATTCATTTCCGTTGATTTGTGTGTGTTTTGCTATGATTGGTTTCTGCATGGGATTGAAAGAAGCACCATCAGTAACTTATGTTAGCGAAATCAGGTAAATTTGATGAATAGTTTTTGGTGTTTATTTGAAAATAATTTTTTGTGTACGAAAAATCGCGAAAATAAGTGAATAAGATTGATGAAACAAAAATCGAGGCCAGCGTAACAAAATGGCTATGAGTTGATTCCACGATTTAATACCACATATTAAATGCTGTTAATAAGCAATTTATCTAATAAATTGTTTTGAGTGAAAATAAATAAAAAGTTTTTGCTTGTCACGAAAAATGCGTTCATTAAGCCAAAATAACCACACTGAAATAGTTATTAATAAATTGAAGGTGGGTAATTATTACGAATGTTTTTTTTTTTTTTGAAGTGAGCCAATGGTGCGCGGTCCAATGTCAATCATTGCAGTAATGTGCTACAATTTCGGAGTTTTCATCGTAACAGGCCTAGCGTTAACATTGTCTTGGCGACAAATTGCCTTGGTTTGCGCGCTATTCCCATGCAGTTGCTTCCTTGCTGTGCTTTTTGTAGGTTTTTTTCTATATTAACTAGTTACTTACTGTTTGCTTAACTCAGTCGCTATTCGTTTGAAAGACTCTCAATAAGACTGAAAGAGCGGATTATATGTGTTGAGTGTATATTTCGAAGATTTTAAAGGTGTATAGTGACAAAAATTTAAATGACGTTTCGTGAAAAATATAGAGAAGGTCCCGGAAAAAGTCGATTTTTCTCTGATCAAAAGTGATGCCCAACGGGAGGCCCGCTCCGAGCATTTCGGTCGAAAAATTCCTAGCAAATCGAAAGAATTTGCTTGGGAGCTCCTATGGCAAGGATTATAAAAACAGCCTCGAAACTCCAAATTGGAATAAAATCGTTTTAATCTTTTAAGCTGTTTCTCTCTTTGTATTTCATACAATAGCGCGGTTTTATTAGATGAGATGCGCTAGTTAGCTAAAACATGATCTGTTTTTTTTATTCGCAAATTCTATAATTGATAAAAGTTTACAAAGCTTATTTTTCAAACTCAAAATCAGTGTTTCATAAATAGATAGATATATCCATTCATTTATGAAACACTGCTCAAAACAATATCTCCAAAATACTTTATGTTTAGATTCCAGAGTCTCCCAGTTGGTCAATTCTAAACGACAAACAAAATGATGCTCAAGCTGCATTGCAATGGTTGAGAGGTTGTAATTTTCTCGCCAATTTTCTATTTCAATTTCACTAGATTTTTTAATTATAGGTTGGGTGTCTCCACAAACGATATACGATGAATTTAAAAGGCTACAAAGTTACAGTGATACATCGAGCTCATGTAAACCGTGTTCAAAAAGTGCAGTAAAATGTCAACATCCAAAGCCAACGTTTCTCGATAAAATCAAAGAGTTAAATCGAAAACGCTCATTAAAACCGTTCATTTTGATATCGTGTTTGCATTTCTTCTACGAATTTTGTGCGATTATTGTGTGGCAAGTGTTATCTCTTCATTTCCGTTGCAAACATCAGTCTCAAAAATTTGAGTATTTCAAAATGATTCGATATTTTGCTGCATTTTTCTAGGCAACCATACATCATACAAGTGATCAAAGCGTTTGGAGTACCTTTAAATGCAAATTTGACGCTTTTAATAAATGCCGGCCTCGGTATGCCAGCTAGTATACTACTGATTTCAACGGTGAAAAAATTGGGGCGTCGATTTCTTTATATCACCTCAAGCTCGATTGTTACTCTGTGTTCATTTGGATTGGGTTTGTGTAAAATTCAACTGGAAAAGTGGAAAAATGTGAAGAATGAATTGATTTATTGCAGGTATTTATGGTTATGTATTCTGTCCGCCGGGATGGTCATCGTTTCAAGATAATCCAGAGGAGGCGCCAATAAAATATAATTATATTCGCAGTGTGGTCGGTGATTATGGTTATTTAGCATTAGCACTCATTTTAGTCATGCAATTCGCAACAAAAATTGGTGTCTCGGGATTACCACACATTTACGTCAGCGAAGTATTTCCATTAAAGTAAATATTAAATTTAAGTTATGCAAAGTAATGCGTAATTTAATATTCGAAAACATTCGATTTTCAGATCACGTACATTCCTTTGCGGCATTGTAACCGCCAATCAATATGTTGTGGCTGCAATTGCAACGAAAACCTATTACAATGTTGAAACTTGGCTATCGCTACCTGGAGCCATTATATTTTATGGCATTATCAGTTTAACTGGGTATATAATTCATGCGCTAAAGCGACTAATAAGATACTATGATTGATGGATAAACAATGAACATGTTTTTTTGCAGGCTAATTGTTATGTATAACATTTTACCGGAAACCGAACAACGATCTTTGGAAGATATTGAACTACATTTTTCAGATAATAAAAAGGGCATCACCGACATTTACATCTCGAAAAATTCAAAAACAATCGAATAAATTCAATTGTTGTGATTAAACCATTTGCCATTATCAGTGCAATTGCACACGAATTGAATGAATTTTGATTCGTAATAATTTCAAATTCCATAAGCTACATGTAAACCTAACTTAATTATAGCTACAAAAATAAAATTACAAATGAAAATACACTTGGACATTGTCCATGCATGTTTTTATTCAAATCAAAAAACTATATCATTTAATTGAATGGAAATCGAAGAATTACTGCAAAAACGTAGATTTTGAATTATAAGTCGATTTAGTCGACTTATTAATTCAGGAACGATTGACCTGATTGTTCCAAATAGTTACTAATATTTCGTAGCCAGTGTTTGCTTTAGATGACAATCTATTTTTAGATACTCAGATAAGATAGATAAGATGGTATCTAAACATCTTATCTAGATAGTTCAAAATTTGGCCATCTAATCTAATATCTATCTAGAAATAATAACGATATCTAAACATCTTTTCGTTAGATCGCGAAAAGATGAAAATCAAAATCATATAGAAGAATTTCGTCGAAAAATTTTGAACACGCTTTGCTTATCAAGTATAACAAAAAAATATTGTAATAAACTGTATTCGAAACAAAAAATATGTGCAAATAAACTATATATTTTTTAAAATTTATTTGTATTATCTGTATTTCAGTATGGATTTTCTAGCGTCATCGATATAATATTTTACATATAAAAATGTAACATATTTAAATTGGCTTTCACTTGTTTTCATCTGAAAAGTATCTAGAAAAAATACTTAGATAGATACTATATAGATGGTATCTAGATAGTTTTTTTAGATACTCATCTTTATCTATAGCTAGATGGTTTTCAACAAAACTGTTTTTATCTATATCGGTCGACATTTTCCAACAATTTTTTATGATATGATTCTCGGCGACAATTTAAAGGCAATATTTCGGTTTAGTTTTTAAGACTCAAACAATTTGATAAAAGGAGTAACTTGCGAAAAATTAACAAAATGCACAAAACATCCAAATATTGTGATAACCAAAGTACTTTTGTAAATTGAATTCACTTCAACTTCTCAAGATGTTTTCTTTACGCAGACGTATTCACTACTGAATTTGAAGAATTTCCTTTGAAGATTTGAAGTTCTACTACTAAATCCACTTCAATCAATAAAATGTAAAAATGCTGTTGCTTTCACTCAATTTCAGCTCCTGACGATATCTGGCTGAAAATATCTCAATATAATGTCTGATTAATTTTCATTGATGTTGTTTTAAACTCATTAATTTAAAAGCTATTGGTAGGAACTAATTTGAGGAAAAAGCCTTTCGAACGAGAGAAGAAATACAACTGAAACTCATTTTATGTCATTAGATCTAATTGACCTTGGCTGATGTGACCTGCATCACATTTTAGGACTTTAAAAATGGCAACTCTCTTTTAAGTACATTTTTATTAAGAACGTTTGAGAATATAGGCCTATTATGACTACGGCCACATTTACTAATGAGAGTTCTTCAGTCTGTGCATAAGACAGTGAACACACTGAACAAGCACAGTATCATATTGATATTTACACAACGTCCATATACATTTTTTCTGAAGTTTGTTTTGCTGTACATTTACCAGTTTTCATTTGGTGTACAGTTTTTCATTGTGACGTCACATCATATTGTTCTCGGTCTTATTTTATTAAAAAAAAACTCATTTAATACATTCATTGATAAAGTTTTTCATCGAGTTGTAGAATTCAAAGCAAATAGAGAGCTCTACAGAAATACAGCGATAAGTGTTATTGTCACATATAACGTTAAAAAGTCCATTAGAAGGAACCACAATCAACATTTATTTTAATTCATAATTATAATTTGTATTTTGACTTAAAATGGCCGCACAAAGGTTTAGATATGAAGACGCCCAAATCAAAGATGCAAAGGTTAAAAGCCGTTTTTATTCATTATAAGTTCACTTTAAAAAACAACAATTATATTTAAAAAATTTCTCTTCAACAGTCGCTGGAAATGTTTCGTGAAACATTGGAACAAATTTACGCTGTTAAGAAGATGGCCTCCTCCGAATTTATGGAATTTTACACGTAAGTACATGTCCAAGAAATCACGTTGTCGATATTTTTTTCTAATTATTAAAATCATTTTGTTGAACTGGCTCATTGAGATATTTGCTCATATACTAATGAGTTTTTCTTTATTCATTATTATTATTCATTATAACATTAATGATTTTTTTTTGTCAATTTTTTTAGGCTTATTATGGAATATTGCGTGAATGGCAGAGAAATTTCGAACGTACACGAAAGAGATTCGCCGTTGGCTTGTTGCTACAAGCGTATTTGTAATGCGATTCGTCAATATTTAGACGTTCACATCTCTGAAATTTCGAAGGTATAAATTAATCAAATTCTTCTACTTCTTAGAAAATATTTTCATCAACTGACACTAACATTAGTTTTGTATTAAATCAAATGATTAAAAAAAAATGTGATGTCCAATCAATTTTAGAAAATACCGGATTCCGATCAGGATGAGACAGTATTGAATTATTACTGCAGGATATGGACCGATTTTCGGTTATCAAGTCGAATTCTCATTGCAGCGTCAACGTATTTAGATAGGCAACATAAAAAAAAAGACCCACATTTCCAAAGAGTCGAACTGATTTTATACGAAACATGGCGCATTCATCTTTTTGAGCATTTAAATGAAAAGATGGCAAACGCAGCATTGAGAATGTTCGAACGAAGCCGATCCGGCGATTGGATCAATAAGGATGCAATAAAAGCGGTTGTAGAATCATACATCGATCTCGGTTGTTTAGAATCTCCAATAGATTCCGATGATATCACTTCGCATTTAAAGGTACTTTATTCATTATTTTCTCTCTTTTTCATTCACACTAACCGGAAAAATGTGTATTCATTTTTGAATCACATTTGTACAGGTTTATCAAAAATTCGAAGAGCGTGTGATACAAGGAACCGATACATACTATCAGAAAGAAAGTGTGCGGGCCATCGAAAAGTACTACCGAGAAGGGAAATCGTTTGTTAATTTTATGCAACATGTCATCAGACTTATTGATGATGAAATGAAGGAGCGCGTTGTTTTGTTACACAATACAACTAAAGCACCCATTTTGAAGGTTCTGACTGACACATTAGTCACAATGCATCTTGAAATATTTGATGTTGAATTTCGGGCAATGTTGCAGGGTGACAAAATGAAAGATATGTCCGTGACGTATTCGATGGCAATTCGATCAAAAGCTGTACTTAAACGATTAAGCTCAATATTTGAAGAGCACGTAATGAAGGCTGGCTTGGATAAGCTCGAGAATTGCAGCGAACAAGCGGTTAAGGTAAGCATGGATTATCAAATAACGATTTTTCATTTTTTCAAATTCATTCATCAATTTTTTTCGTTTTTTTTTTGTAGGATTCAAAAATATATATTGAGGAATCACTGTCTGTGTATAATAAATATCATGATATTGTACAAAATCAATTCAATTGTGAAGTTCTATTCATGAATGCACTTGATAAAGCCTGCGATCAATTTATGAATAGAAATTCAGTGGTTAAGAAAAGTGGAGACCCAACCCTGAGCCCAAAACTGTTGGCCGATTATTGTAATTCGCTGTTGAAAAAATCGAGCAAAAATCCCGAAGAAGCGGAACTCGAATACGCTCTTAATCAAGCAATGACCGTTTTTAAACATATCGAAGATAAAGATGTGTTCCAGAAATTTTACAGCAAAATGTTATCAAAACGATTGATAAATCATACATCGGCCTCAGATGATGCCGAAGCGTCAATGATTTCAAAATTAAAACAGGCCTGCGGCTATGAATATACAAACAAATTGACACGAATGTTCAATGACATTGGACTATCCAAAGATCTGAATGACCAATTTAAAGCGAAAATGAAAAGTTCCAACGAAACAAGCGAAATCGATTTTAGCATTCAAGTTCTGTCAAGCGGAGCATGGTCATTCAGTCAAAGCATTCAGTTTAATTTACCATCCGAACTAGAAAAATCGATACAAAACTACACTGGTTTCTATGCCGGGATTCATTCGGGCCGAAAACTTAGCTGGCTGTATAGCTTGAGCAAAGGCGAAATTATGACAAATTGCTTCAAAAGTCGATACACATTACAGGTAACTTTCAGATTTGAATTGTTAAACACAATTGCAATTGTATTGAGCATCTTCTTATTATTATTTAAAATGAATTCTTCAATTTTATCCATAGGTAAGCACACATCAAATGGCTGTGTTACTACAATTCAACGAACAAACTAGCCTAACGGTTCAACAACTTGGTGAAAGTACTGGTAAGTTGCAATTATTTCATTTCATCATTTTATTTGGTGGCAGTATCTCATTTATTTCTTTGAATATTTCAGGAATCACCAAAGACTACTTGACTCAAATTCTACAATCGTTTTTAAAAGCAAAATTACTTACATGCTCAGATGATGAGAGCAGCATGAACGATCAATCAGTCCTTGAACTGTTTTTGGCCTATAAAAAGTGAGTTATCTTCATTCTATTTCGTCACATTGATAATAATATACTAATTGAATTTCAATTTTGTTAATAGCAAAAAATTGCGTCACAACTTAAACGTGCCGCTAAAAGTCGAAGTGAAGGCCGAACAGGAAGCGACGCATAGGCAGATTCAAGAGGATCGTAACCTTTTGATACAGGCGGCCATTGTACGTATTATGAAAATGCGAAAAGTTCTCAATCATCAAACGTTGGTCGGTGAGGTATTCACACAACTTTCAGCACGATTCAAGCCGAAAGTTTCGATCATTAAGGTAATACATAGCATTTCATTTAATTTTTTTTTTTATAAATTCTTGATTTAAAGCTAACTCATATATTTTGTTTGTTTCCACAGAAATGTATCGATATTCTCATCGAAAAGGAATACTTGGAACGAAAGGCCGATCAAAAAGATGTATACAATTATTTAGCCTAATTTCATTCACCAAATCACATTTATAAATTATAATACAAATCAAACAAGTGTGAGAATGTGAGAAACATCAATTTTTACCTAATACATTCCCGAGCGGATAATATCAAAAAAAGTCAAAATCAAACAACTCTAATAATAAGCATTCGTAAAATAGTTTTTACATAAAATTAAGCATAATGTTTAACCAATGAGAGTAGATCAATAAAATAATGTTAAATAAATCAATGTTTGTTGCAACTAAATCACCGTTTTTTGGACATGTGCAAAGTTTCACTTCATTACGATATCATATAGGTATAGTTCCCATACAAAATCCAAATTTTTGGTGTTTTTTTTAGATTTTATTTGGACCTTAAAATGGCTTCAAATTCGTTATTCGAGAAAACAAGTCTTCTTTCAAACGATGTATCAAACACTATAGTTTGTTTTTATTTCAAGGTCATCAGAAATTTAAAAATTTAGGATTTATTTAAAATTTATTACAAAATTAATAATTGAGACAACGATTGGTTGACAGAGATAACAAATTTTTACTTTATGATTGAACTAGATAATATAGACCATTTAGTTGTGCATGACCTATTTTCAAAAGGCAATTGATTTGGTTTAAATTTTGATGACAAAGATCAAAAATCATTTTTATCGAATTTTTATTTTTTTTCTCCAAGTAAGTTAAATATCCGTTAAAAATGTGATGACTATCTTTTCTTCCAAAAAAAGTTTTGTGGTGTAAAGGAGTCAGAGATGATTCGCATTCATATCATATTGAAATTAAATTGTCTTTCTTTACTTTAAAACGGCTATCAAACATTTGGAGCTGTTATAAGCATGTAGGTGCGGACACATTTCTTGTTTGTGGCGCTCTTTCTTGTATGGGGTGCTCCCCTGTCCTTAATACCCAAAAGGGCACCATATACTTTAACAAACTCATTTTTAGGGCACTTTATGTCGATCTGTACTAAGGAAAGTTAAACATTTTTTTTTTAAGCTATTTTTTTTTTTTAAATATATTTTATTATTGCAGATAGTGTGCGAACATTGAATAAATGCAATAAATTACCATTTGAGTTTCATAGGATTATATTTAAAAAACCAATTCTTATTTCTCTCTAGATCTATTGTTTACCATTTATGAATTATAAACTAAAAAAACATGTTGCAAATTTATTCAATGATTTTTATTCAGTTTAATAGACAAATGTCTTGGAACTATCTCCATAGATTTTTTGAAGTTTTTTTTTAAATAAATTCCATAAAAGTTAACTTGTGACCATATTAAGTCGCTTAATCTTAAATATTCGAAGGCATTTTTCATGTGCGCGTTGAACATCTTCGGGAACATTTATCTCGCCTCGTATCCAAATTCTTACCATCATACGATGATTGCTTGCCAAAGCCAAAATTGAATTGTATTCATTCAAATCTATGGAACTCTTAACAAATTTAATCTTGATGCATTGTGATTCTCGGCCATATAATAAGGCACGCTCGATTCCGTCAAATGTTACGCGTTGAGAAACCACCTCCAACCATCGCAAAATTGGCAGATTTTGAACAATATTCAGCAGAGTTTCGTCGGAAATATTGAACACGTCAAGTTTTTTAAGTAATTTAAGTTTAATTAAACTTTCATCAAAACCTGGTATCTTCCAATTGATCGTTA